GAGTAGAGTATCGAGACCTCTACTAAACCTAATAGTAGGTTGAGTAGAGTATCGAGACCTTTACTAAACCTAATAGTAGGTTGAGTAGAGTATCGAGACCTCTACTAAACCTAATAGTAGGGCGAGTAGAGTAGATACTCGAGTATCTACCCGAGAGTAGGTTGAGTAGGTACTCTACTGAACACACCCTTGCACTATTTCCTTTGGCCTTCTGCTCTGTGCACTTTGTATGGTGAGTACAGTATACTTCTGCAGCTCCAGCAATTATGGGTCAGACCCATACACCACTGCTACACCCGCCCGCAGCACTTACTTGTTCTCCGGAAGTAGATATCCGTGCCTCGGATTTGATGCCGAGGGACAAACACGAAAGTTTCCACACCAAAACATAGAACTGCACCTGGACAGGTCTTGGAGCCGCACAGGCGATAGGGACCGGTGCTGTGCCATCTCTCATGCAGACAAATCGCTGTGGAGAGACGTGTCTGCTGCTGAACACACTCGACGAAAAGCTTTCAACTTCTCACCCCGGAAAAACGAACAAGGGCGCATCCCACACACTTTACCAACAATGCAGTAAATGGAATCCGATCGCGCTAGTAATAAGGCACAGGCAATGTTGCTGTGTGATGTTCGCAAGAGACATTCCTCTGCGTTGATATTGAGTACAATGACTGTCTGTTGCCGGCGGTCTGTGTCAGCTCATGGAATGTCATGTTTTCAAGACGACACATGGAGTAAACTGCCCCCCCTGCACCCTCTCTTACCATGTTCCCAGTTGTGTTGTACCAGATACTCCTCCAGCCGCACCCCGCATAAGATGAGTTGCTATGTGGTTAGCGCCCAAACCCCTTAGCTCTGGTGCGCTGCTGCGCTGGTGCGTTGTTACACTCCGCGAGACTGTGATTGTGAATAGTCTTGAAAACGCCCACTTGCATTTCTAGGCTGTCCGGGGGCGCGGGATGTTGGCCGCCCGCCCTGCGGAGGGGTCTCAACGTGTCAACACACCAAACGGGCGTGTGAGTTGTGGTGTTGTGGAGTGTCACCAGGCTTCATAATGGCGCTAGTGCTTCACTCTTACGCCTCACCGTTCACAGATCAGCTCCAGCTCAGAGAACGTCTTTTCACCATCGACGGCAAACTCCTCAAAATACAACAGGTGGGTGGGTAGGCGACCAGCGCCGCTGTAGCTGCCCGTGCACGCAACGCACAGCAAGGAGACCAGGCATGCCCAACGGCCGGATACAGCTGGAAATATCTTTCCGAAGTGTTTATTCCCAGCCCAAGGATCGCATGAACGCATTGCGTATCCGTGATATATTTTGTTCCTACAAGTATCCGCAAACGTGCTTTGAGCCAGCAGGCTGTGTGCCACCAAAACCGAACAGCAGACCCACCAACAATTCCCACGGCTGTGAAACATAAGCATGACTTGTGCTGCAGCCCTAGGAACTCCGCGAAGTATTGCTGGACCTTGTGTTGAGACTGCAGGGTAGGACACGAGACATGAAGCATTGAAGCATAAAATATTTTGGGTGCTTCCTGAACCATGGCGTCCCAAAAATCCTTGCCATCGCTTACCAGTCTGCAGACTCATATTCCGTCTTCTTCACCGCTAGCAACGGCGGTTTTGACAACCAGACAGGGCGGAGAGTTGTCGATGCTCAGAGAATTGATCGCACAGCGGAGGATTCAGGTCGCCGCCAGAGGTCTTGCGAGCGGTGCTTTCAACCGACCTTGACTCTCCCTCGCGCGGCACCTCCTCTGCTTGCTGCGTGTGCCATCCCCTCTCCTCTTTTTCTTTCTCTCCCGTTGGGTGGGGCTTTAGCGGGAGGGAGTGTTTCTGTGGACAGACGCGATGACGTCAAGTTGCATCAAAACCTGCCGCACCACACGAACTGTTTAGCAGCAGCATTGGCTTCATGTGACAACATCCTCCCCCCACCCTCGCCCCCCTACACCCATCCTTCGACAACAAGGCCTGGAAAGGAGATGGAAAGGGAGGGACGGACATTGGCTTTGGGGCCAGCGTCTACCCAGCTGCCTATGTTCTAGCGGAGTACCTTGAGCGCCACCCTTACCTCGTTCGCGGGAAACGGGTGATAGAGCTAGGTGGGCGTTGTGCTATTCCCGCGCGAGCTGCGCTCTTTTGCTGCCCTACCTCTGGATGACACTTCAAGGTGGAAACCCACCCTCAGTTTGAGAAGGATTATTTATGGTCATAGCCCTGAATTGTACCACATTTTTAGTTGTTTACACTCGATGGTTTGTCCCATGATTGGAATTACTCCCACAGCTGGGCCCGGCCATACCTGTGCGAAAAGCAAAATGACCACTACCCATGCGCGTTCGCTTTCTTCTCCAGGTACTGGGACAGGATTTCTCGGTATTGCCGCGGCGACTCTTGGTGAGTCTCGAGTCTGTAGGCATGAACCGCGTCGGATGCCGTTGGGGCAGATGATAGAGCAACGTTGTGTGCCCGTGTGCTGCATGCTTGGTCACCTGTTTATAGAATACCTGAAGTTCTTTTTTCTTGTTGCGTCGGAGTAGTCACATCACGCCAGACCGCTCTTCTCGTGTTCTCAAAAACTCGCAATCGGATCCCGAAACCGTTCGTGATGCGCTCATGGTCCCGCCACACCCGTTGGCATCTAGTACAGGCGAACGACCTGCACAGGTTTATACGAATTTCATGCGAAGACAAAAAGTGTATGTATTACTACTACTCGGCGCGGCGATAGGGGCGAACCGGGGCGAGTAACCGGTACTGCCCCCTCCCCCCCATCCCTGGGCCACCACTCTTTAGGAGCCGCCGAGGTATGCTTAACCGACGGAGACGAGGAAAGCCTGAAGCTGACCCAGAGAAACGTGACGGGCAATCTCAGTCCCGCTGTCTGTCGTCGAAGTCCTAGTACTGCCTCCTGCTGCGACCAGCAGCAAGCTCAAGCCGTCACCGCTGCAGATAAGGAGAGAACCCCGTGCAATGCGGACTCCACAGCCGGCAGCACGAATATCGTCGAGAGTCCTGTGGATCGAAGACCACCACTAGCCACTGCGGCCACGGTTTCCGTGCAACAGCTTCGCTGGGGCTGTGCAGACGACATGCACGCTGTTGGTGTTCCCCGCAGGGGAGATGGCGACAGCGGAAGCCCTCGTGCTTGGGACGTGGTACTGGGGTCGGATATCGCCGCCCTGCCTTACGCGTCCGCGTACGGCGACCTCCTCCAAACAATCGTTTCGCTCGTAAACATCACCGACGGTAGTGGCCAAGACAAGCACACCGCGCCGTCGCCACCCCGAACAATTGCTGACCACGTGACCGGAGCGGATCAGAACACGGAAATCTCAAGCACTGCTGCTCCCGACAGCTGCGAACCCCTCGATGGCTCCGGCCGTGAAAGCGGTACGGGAAAACCGGCGATAACCAAAACGTCGGCAATGAAAGGTGTGATGGCTGAGGCCGGCCGCAGCGGGTCGGAGAGAGAGGGAAGGCGGCAGGTAGTTGTGCTCTTGGCACATAAACGAAGACACATCTCAGAGGAGGCGTTTTTCGAGGATCTGAAGGAGGAGCTAGGCGGAGAAAGGAGCGTCCGAGGAACCAGCGAGGACGACATACACCCTGATTTTCGGGGCACGGGAATACGCTTGCACATGTTCGTGGTCGATGTTTGACGCACAGCGCGCCACCCGTGTTAGGCTGGTCGTGCCCCGGGTTTGGTTTTTCGGTGAGGGTTTTCGACGTTGCTTGCTTCTCTCCGTTGATGTAGAACAGCTTCTGTAAGTTGATATTTCGTGTCTCGGGTCTCACTTGCCTCAGGATGACACCGCTTTTCGGGGTTCTCTGTCAGGGCAGGCAGTCATGAATACATTCTCGTTCTTCTCACTTGTGTAGGCTCTGTAGGCTCGGTTCGCTCAGACGTTGGTGCTCTGACCAGGATGTTGCCCCCCCTTTAGGACAAACTTGTTGGAATTTGGGTACGTACGACTTAGTGCAGCGTGTGTGTCCAGTGGAGATGCCCGAACGGCTGTATGCGAAACAATCTGACCCAGCCCGAAGTGGAACGGTTGTTTGCTGCAGTAAGTGCATTCAAAAACATTCTGACTCACCTCTAGTACTTCCTCTTCCCTACCCTGAATAGCTTGTTGACTTCACGTTAACATATGCTCCCATCTCTGCTCAGTAGCTTCCATCCGCAAGAACTCTTGACGCCACTTGCGGTCTCCCCTGGCACCTCCCTAGTCCTCATTAAACTACTCGGATGATGCGCAGATGCAACCCCTTTCCTTCAAATCCGATGACACTCCTTCTCACACGGTATATGCGGATGGGGGCGGACCGCGGTGAGGGGACTGTTCCAGTGCCACCATTTTCCAGCGGAACAGCGTAGACCCGCCGATCGCGTAGGCTCTACCCCTCTGTCCACGCCCTTCCATGTATGAGCTCATCGGCTACGCTACCTGCACGTACTTACCCAGCGCATAGGGTCGTCGCCGCTATCCGCGCGGGGGGATGCGGGTTTAGAGTGTTTCACCAACTCACGGGCGTACCAAACGAACGCCCTGTAGTTGTTCACGAACCTTGGTTATCACGTTCTGAGACTGAAAAGGAGGTTGCTCCCAGGTAGATGGAATACAAGAATGTGGCAGCATCAAGTTAGCCTATGTGGGGGGAGGAAAAAGACATGGGCTTATCACCTCACACCGAAACAGGGTACATTCGACTTATCAAGAGTGGAAAAAAGCGCACAAAGAAAAACATAATCAATCGCTTATGATGTAGGAGAAAAGACAAAAACACAATGTCACCGAACCACTGCGTTTGACACCCCGACAACGCCAAGTATAACTCACTTGAAGACTAGTACCGTTCGAGCCCCTAGTAGTTGACACCGTATAGTCATTGTGGTAAACAAGGCCCGATCCTTGAGATACTACCACAGCCGTTTGAAATACTCTTAGGCAACCGACTAGCAGAATCCATGAATATATTTTGAGTGTACAGTAGATATTGACAAGGATAACAGGGGGCGCTGAAGAGTCTCCGAGTCGAGCTGCCGGCCGGCCAGGGGGAACAAGTAAAATAATGACTACAAATGTCTAACCGTGCCGACCTATACCTTTTCCCAAATGATCCCTTGATTTTCCCAATACGGAACCCGTTTCTAAATCCATTTGCTCCCATTCAAAGTACGGCTAACTTCAAGATGGAAGAAAGTTTGAACGACCGGCATGCTTCGGTGACACACGTGACTCAATAACGCTCATGTTCTAACTGGATTCACGAATTCCCTAGTGTATACCCCTGCATCTGCCGACCAGCTTTTCAGGGGACACAAGGCCGCTTCGCCTCACTCGATTGCTTAACATTATAGATCACACCGCCTCGGACCACCTTTACCGCCGGCTCAACCAGGGTCCGCTCGAAGTTGGTATTCGCGTACAATAATTATTTATTTACATACGGATAACAGTATTGACTTTTACAGTGACACCGGCTTTAACAGTGTACTCTGTGGACACCGGCTGGTACATAGTTTTCGCGGCAAGGCATGGACATTCTCGGGCTTGGACAACCTCGCCTGCAATCAAGCACAGATACAAATGTTTAACTGGGTTTGGGCCGGCGTTTCGGAACCCTGCCTGACCTTGGCGGTTGGCAACGGTGCGCCCGGCCGGGTTGCGCAGGTCCCACAACGCCTAGGGGTTACAGGTCACTTCAACCACCCCGTAACCGTGCCCACTGGCCACCTGTGCAGTTGTTGCTCCTCTTCTTTTGTTCGGGTCGACGAGATCGATCATACAGACAGATAACGTGTACTTCAAGGAGTCGCGGGCTTCACAACAAAAAAAAACAGCTGATGTAGACGAGACTAGATGTTCAGGTTTGCTACTGGAGCTGAAATATCGAAGGTCGCAGCAGCCCCTGAAAACAGGCCGAAATCTGCGAGAGGAATCCAACATTTTCACAGCCGTGCTCGTCGCCACTATCCACTGCTGAGTTTACGGTCTGTGGCGGTGAGCACGGCTCTAAATGTTGGATGCCGCTTGGCGCAGATTTCGGCCTGTCCTCAGAGGCTGCTGCGACCTTCGGTGATTTAGCTCCATCCAGTAGCAAACCTGTACGTGCCAGCACCCACGACGCCTCTTCATGATGTACTCCTCTACTGATGACCCACCTAAGCCTTAGAACTGACCTTGTTTGAGCGTCTTCCGTTTTTACTCTTTTGACTGGAATTTAGACTTGTGCGAATTTTCATCTTGATTTCAACGGAGGCGTGTAGAGGTAGACGCGTGAAATGTATGTTTTGAGCAGCCTCTCTCTACTGACGCCCTGTGCGAGAATCAACGATTGCTGTTTCACGCGATGCCTTCCGACAGGTCTTGTGTGTCTGTTGTGCAATTGCTGGTGCTCTTGCATTTGTTTTCAAACTCAGTCAACATCAAAATTCTTCTTCTTCAGCCCCTTGAACATGGTCCTCACAAGCCCAACCCATTCCAAGATCGGAGCTGCATGTAAGGGCAGCCGGCTGTGCAAGCCGAAATCAAACCCTAACACTGGTCAGACTACATGTGGCCAGAGACTAGTCTCAAGGTTTGACTTCGGCTTTTAATGTATGTCTACATATGGGTTGGTTTCGGCTCCCATAGGGCTACAAGTATTTTGCGCTCACTTTGTATGGTCCCCCTCTTGCTTCTTGCAGGACCCAGAGACCAAGAGCCTGTACGGACGCTTTGAGCATCGCCCTGAACAAGGCGTGCGACGGGAAGAAACAGGGAAGAAATGGTACGTCATCAGCACGATTCAACTTCAGCTGGTGTCGGTGCACCTCCTCTGTCTGGCATACCGAAGCACGTCCACGTTGCACGACCCGTGAAGGCCTACCCGTCTTTGTTCCGGTCATGATGCTGCCTCCGAGGCGCAGGGGGCGGGCGCAGTAGCTCCAAGAGGCTCATGGCAACACGGGTGTCTACCTTCAGGCCGTACAAGGTGACGTGGAAGCTGGTGGGTTCGACGTCCCGGTGCATCAGGGTTACGTCGTCGAGCGTGGAATGCTTCGTCTTGGGTGATGCTGTCAACGACAGCAGGACAAAGCAGTTATTGGCCCAGCGAGATGGAGAGCCTCTCACTTTCGAGAGACCTTCGACCAGCCAATCCACCAGCTCCTGTGGCCAACATCGCTGGATCGACTTGCCCGGTGAATTCGGTGACTTCGAAAATTTCAACCAGTCGATAGGCAGCGCCTCGTCGTCGGCGTCATTGCAGGGGGTTACCTTCAGCAAAGCGTTTAACTAGCCAACTGACCAGGGTTCCGTGGCCAGCATCGCTGGAACATCTGATATTCACGAATCAGCCACTTGACCAGGTCATGTGACTGACCTTCAATTTATGGCTTTCGCGACGACTACGGTCGCGATGCGATGTATACTTAACCCGCCGATCGCCAACGTGTCGTGGCCAGGACCTTAGGTAGCAACCCACGAGTTCGTTTGGCCCAGATCGATACGGCGGCTGCAATTCAACAGTGCCCTCGAGTGGCCGGAGGAGGGAACCACCTGGCCTGCATCGCTACGATAGATACGTATCCACCGGGGTCCGGGGAGCCGCAACCAGAAGTGCCTGAAGTGGAAGTCTTCAGAATTCCCGTCTATGTGTCCATCGATGCAGAGCCCGGCGTGGAAGTTTTCGGAACTCCGTAATACCTTCCCAGGTGAGCCTGGCGTGGGAGCATCAGATATCCGTGAGCCCGTTGTAGATATGAATACTGAGAGATGATGTGCTTCTTATCACGCACCGCGGCGCGCGACTCTCGGCAAAGGTTCTTTGCAACGGGGACGATTCATGTTGGTAGGCACGTTAATTCTCAAGCCCCGTAGAGGATTGACTTTCTGTCCCCGGTAATACCCGGCTGAGGACAGTTCCATGTAGGACGCAACTGTCCACGAAGCAACTTCTACGCAATCTCCTGAAGCAAATACGAAATGCCCTTGATCTACGCAATTTGTTTTGCGGTCTCCAAAGCCAAGTCGCCCACTCTGACATTGGCGAGGCGGGTCCATAACAAGTCCTTGCCAAGGTTTACTAGGGCTTTTTCGACAACGACGAAATCTAGAGACCCGTGTTTGGGCGCGTGCATTGAGCGAACGCAGAAGGTGCGTCCTCCTCAAGTCTTCTCGTGGAGACTGGCTAAGTTCTTTTTGCTCTTGGGCGTTCCAAACATGTAGTGAACGCGTAAATGAAGTTGAACCTCCCCAGCCCCACTCCTAACTGTACCACGATATATACGCAAGCCTTCGCGGGGTATACATTTATATCCTCCATATGGCGTTCGCAGCTCAGGAGGGACAAAGCTATACTCAGTCTACGTGAAGGCACACCAGCGAAACTTAATAGACTGGCATGTGAGCGCGCTGCAACACAGACAAGGGATATTCAAACCGGACGACCTCAACAATTATCCTCCTATGTATGCATAAGCACGGGCAAAGTGCGTAGTTGATGACGAGTCGCAGCATTCCAGTGGTTAACATGCCACAGCTACACACATCAGCAGTGAGAGCAACCACAAACCACAAAAACAGATGATACTCCGCGAATCTGCGGTCGATTCTTGTTTTTCGCTGTCAGCCGGCTCGCTCGGTCATGAAGCGACCCACGGTCTCGATGTGCTTCTTGCTCGTCTCCGGTGTGTCTTGGAAGATCTGGTGGCTGTCGCCCTCAAGCGGGATGCACGCCTGGGGATGATCGTTAAATGCATCACCACGATAGTAACTAGCCAGGCGTGGCTGCGTCATGCCGCAAGCTTTGTGCAAGCCATAGCCTTGGGGAAACTTGACTTGTGAGCTCGACGAGAAGGTTGATCTGAGAACCTCGGCATAGAGCATGTGCTCACCTTCGTTCGGCATCCGACAGAGAAAAGCGCTCGGGGACTACCAACAAGGGTGGGGGAGAGAGAGGAGAGGGGCAGCGAGACACACACAGGCAGACATAGCGATAGAGATACAGTCGGAGACCCTCCATGCCTCCTTCTCGTTGTACCTTGTCTTCCACGGGCAGATCATCCACAAAACGCTGACAGTCCTCGTACAGGGTGCGCTGGTC